TCTGTTTTTCTGTGGGCACCTTCCACGAATGTCTGCCTCCCACCTCCCAGGTTCATAATCCCTCCCCTATGAAGAGAGTAGTTAAGCATCAACCATGTGGCCCCTCTTTGAGTTCATATTTTATATGACTCCCATGCACCTGTGTGTACATTAATAAATTTTGTGTGTCTTTTCTCCTATTAATCTGCTTTTGTCAGTTGATTTTTCAGCTAATCTTCAGAGGGTGAAGAGAAAGTTTTCCCACGGTCCCTACACTAATTTATGGGGTTCCCATATCAAGGAGTCCCAGAAATTTCTCTTTACCACCCCTTGATCATTTTACCTACCTGTATACATAAGGCTTTGGGTCCCCGGCAGGGGTTTGAGCTAAGCGACCCTGGTCCATTCCTCAAAATTTATCTAGATTTATCTACCTATCACTCTGGGCAATTTTAGATCAGATTTCTCATTGTAATCTCTGCCTTCTAACTTTAAATTTCTCCAAACTGGCACAAGTGCAGCAAACTTGTTTGGAGCCTTTTAATGTTGGGAAACAAGCAGGGGCTTTCATCCACCCAACCTTTGATAGTGTTGTATTAAGACCTTTGTTTTAACTTCATCAATTTCCATTTTATTCATTTCTTTTTCTTTCTCTTTCTTTCTTTATTTTCTTTCTTTCTTTCTTTCTTCTGATCATCTGAAGATTTCTACCCTACTAGGATGAGAGCCATGATTCTCCCCTTTCTTTTTCCTCTTAGTTTTGTCAGGTTTAATCTTGTCCTGTGTTTTCAGTTCTTGGTGTGCTCATGGCTGAAGAATGACCAGACACACTAAAGTAAGGCAAGCATGAGGTGAAATTTATTGAGGGGGAGCAAGATATGATTATAGGGCAAGAGCAAGATATAGGTTTACAGAGCAAGATACATACTCCACAGATGACAACAAGACCTCTTGTCGAAGCAGGAAAGAGAGTTTGGTTATGGTCTGTGACTTGTTTTATAGTGCCCGGACTGGGACCTCCCTGTGGCTCAGATGTCACCATGGAACCGTTTAGAATGGACAGTTGGGAGTTGCATGACCTGAGTCTTAACTACACATGCGGGTTGTTCTAGGTTAATTTCTGGACTCTGTGGTACCTATGCTGCTTGGCCAGTGGGCTAGAAAGTCCTCTGCATTCTTTTGCACCTGGCACACTGAGTTATAATTGGCAGATTCATAGGGTACTCCCTCCTCCCCCAGGTATGGCAGTCACTTGCGAAAAGAGTAGGGTGGAGCAGGACCAAGATGGAGGCCTGGGGCCCACCCTTGTCTTTCTTCTCAGGTGGGGCAATTGCACCAAGGTGACAGCACCCACTTTCATTCCTAGGAGACCCAGAATCCCTCACTATCTACCTAACAGTTTTATATCATCAATGTTTTCTTTATTTACTTTACTTCTTAAAAACCATTAAAAAATTTCCACCTTTCTGGGAAGAGTCCTTTGACTCTCTGCCTTTCCCTACTCTACTGCTAATTAAGCTAA